ACCCCCACTGGGGCCTTCGGTGGAGCTCCCTATGGGGCCACGAAACGCTGCCCTGGGTGGGGGAACCGCATGCGAACACCCCCACTGGGGCCTTCGGTGGAGCTCCCTATGGGGCCACGAAACGCTGCCCTGGGTGGGGGAACCGCATGCGACCCCCACTGGGGCCTTCGGTGGAGCTCCCTATGGGGCACGAAACGCTGCCCTGGGTGGGGGAACCGCATTCACCCCCACTGGGGCCTTCGGTGGAGCTCCCTATGGGGCCACGAAACGCTGCCTTGGGTGGGGGAACCGCATGCGGACACCCCCACTGGGGCCTTCGGTGGAGCTCCCTATGGGGCCACGAAACGCTGCCCTGGGTGGGGGAACCGCATGTGGACACCCCCACTGGGGCCTTCGGTGGAGCTCCCTATGGGGCCACGAAACGCTGCCCTGGGTGGGGGAACCGCATGTGGACACCCCCAGGAGGAGGGAGGAGGAGAGGAGAGGAGAGGACGCGGGCACCGTCTCTTCAAAACGAGGACCCAACACCACAGGATGGTTGGGAAAAACATTGGGAATGGACGTCCGAGCGATGGCCAGTGCTTAGAGTCTGGCCAACGTCAAAAAGGAGGAGGAGGAGGATGAGGAGGAGGAGGAGGAGGAGGAGCAGCAGCAGCAGCAGCAGCAGGAGGAGGAGGAGGAGGAGCAGCAGCAGCAGCAGGAGGAGGAGGAGGAGGGGGAGGAGCCACCACCAGGGGGGTCGCCACGCCCCCCTGAGGATCGAGGATCATTAGTGCCGCATCGTCCGTATCCGCTGCTCTCGGAGGTGTGCCCCGATGAGGATCTCGCGGGTCGTCGTCGCCGTCGCCGTCGCCGTCGCCGTCGTCGCCGCCGCAGCCGCTGCCGCCGCCGTTGCCGCCGCCGCCGCCGCCGCCGTCGTCGTTCTCGTCGTCGTCGTCGTCGTCGTCGTCGTCGTCGTCGTCATGCGGAGCGCTCGTCGCCTGGCCCCGCTACTCCCCAGGATTTCGAGGCGAATCCAGCGGTGGCGACGAGGACCTCCCAGGAGGCCGAGCAGGACGGGCGAAGGGTAGCGGTATTGGTACAGATTCCTCCTCTGTGCTGGTTGGGGACGTCTTCCGCCCTCGGGGGGGGGGGGGGGGGGCGGGCAGGGATCCATGCTGAGCGTAACACGGTGGCCTCGGGGAGTAAAGAAACGCGACAACACCACCACCAGGGGTGCCTTTTCCAGCGAGGAGCACCACGAGGAGGTCCAGCGAGGAGGCCTCTTCGAGCGGGGAGGAGCTCAGATGATGTTAAGCACGGGAGGCGGCGGCTTTTTTTTCCAGTCTTCAAGATCGACGTGCTTCCCGTTTTAGGGTGCGTTTTTTTTGGGTCGTTTGGGGATTCTCGTTCGCGCCATGCTCGGCTCGGTCCCGTGCTGCATTGGAGTTGTGTTTCTACATTGGGCTGTCGTGTTTCTGCCTTGGCTTGCCGACAACCGAACACATTGGATGGTTGAAGGAGAACTCTTTCAACATCATCCAAAGGAAGGAGCACCACGCCACCCTCAGGATTCCTTAGCTTTTCGCGCTGACGTCTCCACAGCGGCTGATGTGGATAAATCGCCCCACCAGAGGCAGTCGAGGAGCTTGTGGGGGCTCTTGGGCGCTCCCCCGAGGATACAGTGCAGTGTCGGGCGTATCCCTCTACAGGAGGAACATTCAAAAATAGTGAAAGAATAGCCTGGGGATCTTTTGATACTTTGTTTTGCGCATATGTTTGACTATTTATCATTTTTCGCCCAAAGTCGGCCTGCAGCGAGACATGCCTGACCTAAATCCAGTGCAGCCCGATGCTTGCAAGGCGCTGTAGTGCATCCTTCGGAGGCCCCAAGACGATGCGGTGACAGCTCCGTTCGGTGAGTCTGTGGGGAATCTGAGTGACCACATGGTTTGGGGACTCGGGCCATTCACGAAGGATATCTCGGGCGACTGGGGCCGTCGAGGTTCCAAAACGGTGCAGTGACGGACCGTGCGGTGAGGTCTTCGGGGGTTCTGAGGTCACCGCACGGTCTGTCACCGCACCGTCCTGGGACCACGAAACTCTGCCGCGGCCCATCCGATTCGATTCCCGCCCTGGGCCCGATGATGCAGCCCGATCCGACGCACACCACGAGTCCGGCCGTCGAGCCGCCCTGGCGGGCCCGCATTGGTGTCTGCGGTTTGGTCGGTTCGGCTGCGCCACGGTCGGTTGCACTGGGTCGGTGGCCGCCCGGCGTGTCGTTGCAGGCGTCGCTGCGCCCTTTCCAATTCGGCTGTTTGCGGCCAGTCGGTTTCCCAGCCACGCGCAGAGGGGGGTGGGGGGAGGGGGGGGGGCTTCGCGGAAGCACCCCTGCTTCTCAGGAGGCGCGGGCCTCATCTGTAGGTGTAGGGCCGGCGCCTGCTGAGAAGCAGCCTCCTCCTAAGAAGCCCCCCCCCCCCCCCCACCCCCCTGGTGCGCGTCGCCAGCTTCCGGTGGGCCTGGGCTCCGCGGTCGGTTCGGTCGGCTTTGGGTTCTGCTGCTGCCGTGGGCGGCCTCGGCCCCCCGGGGGTTCCACGAGGCGCCGCCTCTTTCGGAGGGCGCGGGCCCGAAGCCGGGGCGATCGATCCGACTCGGTGCCGAGGTCTCCCGGCCCGATCCGATTCGGTTCCCGATCCACCAGGCACGCAAATCGCCGGAGGCATCCCCACACGCTGGGCGCGAACGAGCACATGCAAGATCCCCCGGCGGCCTCCCACTCGTGGTCCTCGGGTGCGACGTTCGAAGGAGGGCCAGCTGAGACCAGGGTCGCCCCTTGGGCCCTCGGGCGGGATCCTCGCCGCCCTGGCCGGACGCTGCTCGGAGAACTGGTGCGGCTGGGCCCCGGGAGGGCCCCCCCGAACCAGATTGGAGCAGACTTCGGCAACTGCCGTCTCACCGCCGTTATCTCGAGTGGCCCTCCTCCGAGAGTTCCTGGCGGCCCGATGCCTTAAATATCGAAGAAGGAACGGCACAAACACAAACTCTTTGAGTTCCGCGCGGATTCCTTGGATCGGCGCTGGCCACTCTTGGCGGCGCGCCACTGGCGCGGTCTGCGCGCCAGGATGACGGGTCCAGCGCCGATCCAACTAATCCGCGCGGATCTCCGAACGTTCATTTTCCTTCCGCTTCTGATTCCATACATGCGCACAAGCAAGCCACATCATCAGGATGGGTAACTTTCCAAGAGTACCCTCGCATCCATGCCTCTCAACCCTTCCGAAGCTTCAGCCATGGGCCAAGCTTCCAATTTCGGCTTCAAGTTGGGCGTCTGGGGGCCTGGCATTAGATCCACGCATCCTCATGATCTGGTCGCACACGCTCTAGTTCAGTTTAGCATCTGGACGCAGCCGATCTGCTTCGATTCCGGCAACGTGTCAGTGTGTTGTACTTCGATCCGACACACATTCCGATTCGGCCCGATTTCCCGATTCGATGTTAATTCATCTTGGAAGGATGGGGCGTCCAAGAGGTTGTGAGGTCTGGGTGTGTGTGTGTTTGTGTGTGTGCGTGACCGGGTTTTAAAACTCCAAGGCATCATGGCCCCTTTCCTTCTCTCCATGCGATCTGTGGCCACCCCTGGGGCGCGCATGCCTTGGGCCATGACTCGCTATTCAGAGGAGAAAGAGGGACCACCGCCACGGGGGGTGCGACCTCTGGGCAATGGCACGCACGAGCATCACCCAGTACAGGACGATGCTTGGGCGTGCCACCTCGCAGGGTTCGGTCGCGGCCTCCGCCGCCGACAGCGGCACCTGTGACCAGGACGGCGTCGTTGTGTCGCTCGCTCCCAGCGACAATGACCTTGACATCAGCCAGTCTGAATGTTCAATCCGCGGCCCCACCAGTCCTGGCCGCTTCCCCAGGGGCAGCTTGTCGCCCCGGGTCCATGTTTGATACTCCTGGGGCCCGATACGTGTTGCGGAGGTCGCAATCGATGAAAAACGACGGGCTTCAAAAATTGTTGACGCTTCGCGAATCCCCACCAGCCCATCCAGAAACGATGCCCAGAGGAATTGCCTCGATCAGGGAAGTAGGCAGCACACAGAGGAAGCCATTATGAGACATCTTGGGATATCTTGAGCCATCTTGGATGTCATCTTGGGCTCTCCCAGGCGCACTTGGAGTCATCTTAATCAGTGCCCCCCAAGAGGCCAACATGTGGCTAAAACCTTCGTCAAATCAACGATTTGGCATTATCGCCGAGGCCTCTTGGAGCATTTTGGGTGCCTCTGGCGGATCTCTTGGGGCCTCTTGGGGGTCTCTTGGGAGCCTCTTGGGGGCATCCTGATCCTGGAACTTTTGGGGCTTCCTGGCCACCTCTTGGGGCCCTCTTGGGGCACCCTTGGGAGCCTTGGGGGCCATCTTTGGGCCATCTTGGGTGAGATCGATCACAGGAGGGGGGGGGGGGGTAATTACTAATTACAGCCCCCCCCCAGGAGGCCAAAATGGGGCCAAAACCTTAGTCAAACCAATGATTTTGGCTTCCTCGCCGAGGCCGTTTTGGACGCTCCGACGACTCGCGAAACCCCCTGTCCAGGTCCAGGGGATGGGGTAGGGGGAGGGGTAAACCCCTCCCCGAAGGGGAAGAAAAAGTGGTGGAAGAGGAAACGCTCTAAACCATCGACGCCCAGAGGGCTGGTGGGATTTACACCGTCGGAGATTAGGGGACGGCGGCGATGGCGGCCGCGGCGGCGATCGACGACGAGGACGACGACGACCACGACGACGACGACGACGACGACGACGACGACGACGACGACCACGACGACGACGACGACGACGACGACGACGACGACGACGACGACGACGACGACGACGACGACGACGACGACGACGACGACGACGACGACGACGACGGCGGCGACGGCGGCGGCGGCGGCAGCGGCGGCGTCGGCGGCGGCGGTCGCGGGGGCGGCGGGCGACGACGCGACGGCGTCGAATCCGAACGGCGGCTCTCCGAGGCACCGCAGCGGCCGCCCTTCAACAGGGTCGCGGCCAGGCTGCGCGACGCCATGCTGCGCGCCACTGCGTCGGGGGCGTCGCCGCAGCGGCTGCGATCGACGCGCCGGCGCGTCCGCCCATGACATGGCGCTCGCCAGGAAGGCCCTCGTCTTCGAGGACCGGAGGACTCGGAGGTTGATAGACCTCCTACCCTGACACATCGATTCGCGAATTGGCCGTTTTCGGTTTGCGAGGGGGCGTCGCGGCCGTCATTTTTGCGGGTCCAGGTCCGTCGGTTTCGGTCCCAAGCCGTTGTCACTAAGGAAGGTTTACTAAAGGGAGGTTTGTCCACCGCCGAAGGACTTGACATCTCGTCCTCGGCGGGAGGCGGCGGAGGTAGAGCGAGGCCGCTTCCGCTGGCGGGAGGCGGGCGGCGGCCGGCGGAAGTGAGAAAATGCTACTCGCCCCCAAGAGGTGGCAACATTTTTGGGGTTCGGGGTTGCCGGAGTCCCCAATACAGTGGAGTAGTGGGGACCCATGCCAAGAACCACCCTGCTTGCCTCCAGGGTGCCCTGGGTTTCTTGGGTTTCGACGCTTCTGCGACGGAAAGCGTGACGTCCCCACACCAAAAACCAATGGAAGTTCTGGGGTCTCAGGGTTGGGCTTCTCGCGGAAGGGTTCTTGCGGACTGGCCTCCACTGTGCGTTCGCCGGACGGAATCCCGGCCATTTGAAGCAAGATTGGGGACGCGGCTCCAGACCCTCGTGTCCCTCGCTCGCGCCGTTGCGGAAAGCACTGGCGTCGAGAATGTATCGAGAATGTAGGTCCGCGCTTGATGGTAGTTGTTTTGCATCGTCGGCGGAGGCTCTGGACGCGTTCGGCAGAGTGCTCGGCAGGTCGCCTTGAAATTGATTGAAAGGGATCGTGTTGTCGGGCAGTTTTCGGGCTCTGGGGGCCCTCCCCGGGCCTCGGACCATCAAACCATAGTTCTGGAGGAAGAACTAGTCCTGAGGAAAGGCCCCGGGGGTCCAGGACACGTGTCCCTCAGGACCCCTCTCTGGCTCCTGCCAAGCAGGACTTTCGGGCCTGTTCGTCGGCTCCTGTAGGTTACCCTGCCTCGGGACACGTCCGGGCAGCTGCGCCTCGTCGAGAACGCTCCGGGCGGGCCCGGGAACCCGAGGCATGGCTCGACAGCCGAGGTCAGGGTCCCCTTCGATTCGATTGGTGCGGTTCGATATCGATTTCGGCCAGCCCGATCCGACTCGATTCCGATACGCCGACTATCCAGTGCGGGCCGATGTTTGTGTGACGGTGTTGTGCATCCTGGCGCGGCTGTTCTCATTCGATTCCAGCACTCGTGCCGAGCAGCCCGATGCGACGCACATTCCGGTTCCATTTTCCGATTTCCCGATTCGGTGTTGACCGATCCTGCCAGTCACGATCGGAGATCGAGGAGGAGCGATCGAGGATCGTCATTTCGACGGTGGTCGGGCGCTTGTAGGGGTTCTCGCCGCCACGGCTGGGCGCAGCTCGAAACACTGCCCAGGATGAATCCCGGGAGGGGTGTGGGGATACATGTGATCGGGTTTTTGCCGACGACGATGACGGCTGCGAGCATCAACAGGAGTTACGCCGACGGCATTTCCTTGATTTCAGCCTCGGCCCTTTTCGGGGCCCTGGCGCCTTCAAGAGTCGATACGTTGTGAACGCCAGCCAGGACGTGTCTAGATGGGGCCAGGGACTTATTTTGAGCGGATCTTGGGTTATACCACGGGAGAAGGAGACGAGGTGACCAAGGAGCCCTGTTCATTACGCATGTGTGTGTGCGATGTTGTTACCTGTGGGACATATCTCGGCGTCGTCACCTCCCTTGTCGGCCGTCTCTACCATCCTCGCGTACCAAGCCTCTCCTCATGTTCCCCCTCACTCCCAATCCTCCCCTGCCTCATTTCCCTTTCCTCCTCCAGTCCTTCCCCACCACCGTTTCGCGCATTCCGCTGGCCCATCTTGTATCACCATTGCTATCTGCCTGTGTGCTCGTGGCTTCGGAGCTCCTGGGGGCATCATGTAGGAGCCCCGTGGACACTCGGAGCCGTCTTATGGTCTTGTGAGACTTTCGGGGCTTGTAGGCAGCATGTTAGAGGCTACCTGGCAGCCTGGGGAGGCCCAGTGATCGGGTCGAATACGTCCTGATCTAATGTTGGACATCAGGTCGTCCGTGTTGCGCCTGTCATGCAGTGCCATGGGTGTCCGGCGCCTCACCTGCCACGGGTTTCTCCCTGGCCACGGCCAGGGGCCGCCACGAGCGCGCGCGAGCAAATGTAACGTAGCACTGCTGAATGCCACCAGCCAGATTCTAGTACGCCTTTGGCCCGCTGGGCCGGCGAGTTGTGTACTTCTGTATCCCTCGAGGGGAGGGCTCACGCAGGGGTCGGTGACAAAGCGTCGCCGAGCTTGAGACCGTTTTTGTCATCCCTGACGATAAAGATGGGCGTGACCGGCCGGGGGGTAGGGGGAAGCGGGGCGTGCGCCAGTCACGTGGCGATTTGCGCCCGCGCCGCGCGAATCGTGACGTGACCAGGGCGGGGGGGGGGGGGAAAGGGGTGGGCGGGGCCGGTCACAGGCGTTATCTCGAAAAATAGAAACATGATTTCTTTGTGGTAGATGCGTCGGAGGACGGAGGAGTAAGGATGAGGAGACAGTGGACGAGAAGATGACGAGGACGGGGTATGAGGTATGAGCAGGAGGAGGGTCCTCCTGCTCATACCTTCTTTTTGCTACTATGGTCGGAGGTTGGGGAGTGAGATCGCAGTGGGACGGAGAGCCCCCCACCGGGAAATCGGTTTCGGTTTCGTGTTCGTGCCGTGCGTGCGGGCGAGGCGAAGCTGTGTGGGCGCGCGCGCGAGGAATGACCCCGCCGTCACCAGTGCGATTCGGATGCAGTTTCCGCCACGCCGTCCCCGGGGGAGCGCCCGGTGGCCCGGGGTGTCCCGCCGTGGTTTCCTTGTGGTGTACCGTTGGTGTCTCGTTGGTGTCCCGTCCGTGTTCCGTCGGCGGTGGACGGGCGGTGGCCGGGGGAGTCCCGCTCGGGTATCGACTGTGAAGTCGATTGTGGGATCGATGGTGAGATCGCTAGGATCGGGATGGATAGTGAGATCAGAAGTGACGGTGACACTGAGCTGTGAGATAGAAAATGGGGACGACAGTGACATTACATCGCAGCGCAAGGTCGTCATCACGCGTCGTCGCTATCTCGAGCGCGCGTCACCAGCTTCGTCATCATCACACCCATCGCATTTGCCAGCAGTTGTTTTGTTTGCGCCCTCAACCTTCTTATCACCCGAAGGGTGGTCGTATAGGTATGAAGGGATGACGACGACATGTTCCTCTCACTGTACGCTCCTTTCCCGCCCACCTAGGTTCATCGTGTTACGCTCCCTAAGGGATCATGGAATCTTCACCGGCTTGGTGGGCTTTTGCGGAAGAAAGCCTCAAGAAGCAGAAGCATCAAGGAGTTGATCGGCCCTGTCCAACATGACGTCGCGGACGTTAAGAAGAAAGACATCTCAGAGCTCAAGACAGTTCAACAGGCGTCGGAAGAACGAGTCGGCCGGAGGTTGGGGCAGGATCGGGATCGGGCTCGTTTCAACCGATTTTCGTTGAGATCATCTTGTGGAGATCATCAGCGTGGTACACTGTGGAGATCTTGTGGGGATCTTGTAGAGATCATCGTCTTGTGGAGATCTTGTGGAGATCATCTTGTAGTACCAGATGGGATGACCAAACTATTAATGGTACTACCTAGGGCGATGCCGCGCACTTGATCTCCGAGCCAACAGGTCACCTTGATCCAGCACTCCTTGACCACTTCCAGGATTTTCAGCTCTGGGCACCGAAGACCTGTTCTTTCAAAACCCCCATCACGCGAGCCAGCACTTGCAGGAGATCTGGAGCGTTTGGGAAGAGTACTTGACGGGCCAGAACAAGGCGTGGACCGTTCTGGACCCGGTGATGTACGTACGGGTAGAGGGCGTCCAGGCGCAGTATTCCATGCTGGGCCTGGTCAAGGACTGGACGAAGGATCACATCGATAGCTCTTGGGAACCCTGGGAGCATTGGGCAGACTTCAATGTAGTTGTTACTTCACCCACCGAGGAGGGGAACATGGGAGTCAGGCCAAGCGCCATCCTATGTGATATTAGTTTGTTGGTCATATTTCTTGGACATACTTCTTGGAAGGAGGATGGCCTCCAGACTGCCAGCCTGTCGAAGACAGTTGCGGAGGACGGAGGCAGGAAGTTCAGGGGGGGGGGAGGGATAGGAGCTGCTGAAGCCGAGCTCGCAGGTGGGGGCGTTGTCGATCATCGCTTGCAACGTGCACAAGGGAATCACACGGAGTCTGCGTTTGTTCAGCTTCGGGTGCCACGTGGTGTGCCTGAAAGAAATTCCGCGGCGGACTGCCGGGCGCATCATCAGATATATTGGGTATGCTGTACATCGTAATCGTACCAAGCCGTCCACATTTGCGGTGGAAGTTGTATTCGATTGTCGATTGCGAAGTCTGAGTCTGAAAGTGCGGGACGAGAGATATGGCATGTATGGGGGAGGGGCACTGTTTTCGCACAAAGCCCATGTGGATTCACGTTGACCTTGAGCTTGCAGTTTCTACATCACAAGCAAGGGATTGGCACAAGGAGGGAGTAGGCAACTCTTCGAGCCCTGATCTACCAGACGACGTGCGGGAGGAAATATTTGTTTGGACTGCAAACGACGGTTTGAACAACATGTGAGCACTGTGTGCGGTCCGACTCCAACGTGACTCTCCCTCGGAATGTCCTGGCAATCTCTGGGCAATCGGAGCTGTTCCCGCTCGCCTCCCACATGAGGCGGATGCAACACAGGATCGTTTCGTGGATGCCAGCGCTGGAGGTGAGAGCGTCGGTTGTAACCGCATTCGGGCAAGATGCCTGCAAAGGCGATCTGTAGACGTGCAGGTTGCAACGGACATGGCGGCACAAGTGTCAAATCAAGTCTGTAGCCGTTTTTCATAATTCGCTCGCGTGGAAGCCCCCACTATTTGGACGCGGCACACACGATTTGGACGTCTGGCCCGAGGCCGCACTGACCAAGGGGAAGGACCACAGACCCATCAAGGCTGAGTTCTACTGGGATTTGGTAGCGGCCGCCAGCCAGTGGGACTTCCCTCGCCTGGATCGTCGGCGATTGCCGAAGCAGGCGAAGCACGACGCGGAAGCATCGTGGAAATTCGAGTCTGACCTTCCCGATCTTAGGATCCACCATGAGGATTGGATCTATTTGGGGATTTTGGTGCACGACGTGGCGCAGGAGTTTTTCACGGCAGACCCATGGCGAGACAGCCATATGTTGTCACATTCGCCGTAGACGCGCTAATGGCGATGTAGGTAACGGCGATGAAGGTTTCGATATTGTGGGAACGCGTGGCTCGCGCATTCCTACAATTCGCTGTGTTGTTTCGATCGAGACATTCGCATACTGGAAATGTAGGAACATGTGCTTCGCGTCTTCCTACAATTTGGTTGCCAGCATCACTGTTAAGCAACGTCGCCGTCGGCGTGGCTTTGGGCTGGTCGCACATCAAGCCCCCCTTGGGCCCGTCTTCGGATCGAGACGGATTCGGATTGCCGGAGAGTTTTGGGCCCATCGCAGTACGATTGGCCTTTGAAGATTGCTTGTGGGCTTCAAGGTTTGCCCAAGTACGGCGCTCAAGATATTGATCCACCTGCTGGTGTTGTGGTCGGCTGTGCTTGGCGTTGCTATAAGGCGGAGTGAGCCCGAGGAACTAAGCAATTCGGTATCCATCAATCTTCAGACCCAGACAGGCCTCCAGCACGGCAGCGAGAAAGACTTCAAGGCCTCCGCAGTGTCGCCTTGAAAGACAGATTAAATGCCAGGCCACCCGAAGAGCTCGAATTGTGGGGCGCGCGGCAGGCAAGAGTTCGCATGCGGAAATGAGGCGTTCCAGGAGTTGATGGAGTGACGCCAGACGAAGACCAAATCCTTCGATTTTTGGTGTGGCCTCATTTCCAAGTGTTTCTTCAATGTTACCTGTATTTCGACCCGTCTCTGCCGCATTCGCCTTTTTCTGGAACTTGTTTCAGTATGTCGGGCTACCGAAGAACAATATTACGAAGAGCTTTGCAGATCTAGATTGGGTCTGTAAACAGGTAGTCTTGCAAAGATGTACACCCGAGCTTCACGCCCGAGTCACCATCGACACCTCAAGCCAAGCAGCGTTCATTCCCACGGTTTCTCGCCCCGGACGGCCACCACGGAATTGACGGGACCCGTGCGCGAATTATTGCATGCAGCTGCTGTTTGGAAATTGGTGGTTCCCTGCCAGGACGCATTGTCAGCCATCGATTCCATGCTGAACGATGCTGCATTTGTTTCGATGAAAAAAACGTGGCTCCTGCTCGCGTAATCGGCATTCACATGCCGGGGCTTAGCGAAATTCAAGCCACAATCAAGCTTCCCATGGCTGGGAAAAAACGATCGTTTCCCAGCCAGCTTGGTGGAGAAGCAAACGTGAGCAGAGACTCCAGACGAATGGCGAGTGATGTTGGAGCACACATTTGGGCCTCTTGTTCAGGCGTGGGTCTCTGCGCGGGCCTTCTGAAAGACGAAGCGGTGAAAGACGTGAGCGTGGTTCAAGAAGGGGTCGTCCTTCAGTGCTCGCAGATACGAGAATTGGCGCTGCTTGTTGACAAGCCCGGGCCGATCGGCAGCAGGAACGAGAGCGTGAATGGGTGCGCGGCCCGGCGGCGCGCGCGCGCTGCACGGCGCATAGACGCCGCGTTTGGTGCCAGATTTGTTGCGGCAGTTGGGGACGTGGGTGCTCCGGATGTTGCGCCGGGAAGTCGGCCAAGCAGTTCAACGTGCGCGCGGCCGGCGTTAACTGGGCTGTGACCGCGTAGTGGCTGGGGTCCATTGAGTGCTCCGTGCGGACTGCGCGGGGATATCGGTCGCTGCAGCGGTGGCAGGACGTCCATGCTCGAATGTGGTCGTTGTTCGTAAGAATATCAAGTCGGTCGTTGCACATGTAGATTTTAGAGAACAAATCCATGATACCGTGGACGCAGGTAAGTGCATACGCCGAGTGGGACTGACGCGAGTTCAAATGATTGGCCGACGACGTGGCGAACCAGGTTTTGGAACGTGGAGCTATTCGGGTCTACGCTCATGGCAACAACGAACTGCAGAGGAACACGCTGAGGTCAACTTCCGGCTCACCTTTGCTTCGACGAAGTCCTGCGGCGTGAAGGCGATTATGTGGCAGGGGTGGTGTTTCCCACGTGCGACCCTTCTGGCAGGAGAGAATTGTTTGTCCGAGAAGGGACGTTGCTGGACCCGTTGCGTTTGGCCTTTCTCGCCGATGCCATTGCAGCAGAGTTCAATCTTGATTTGTTGGTCCATTTCCTGAACAGTGGCGGGTAGAGTTCAGCGAACCGCATGCGACTTACATCGAATTGAACAGAACAGGAGTAGGAGGGCGGCGAGTGGGATCAGATGGGTAATTCGGGTGCAACACGACGGGCAGGAAAAAGGACCTAAAAGGGGAATGGGGGTGATTGAGGAGGAATTGAAGAAGGCTGGGAAGGACAAACATACGGGAGAATGGTGCGTAAGAGTCGGAGGGATGTGTAAGAGGAGGGGGCCGAGGAAAATGATGCAGAGGACTTGAAGGAGGAGGAGCAGGAGGAGTAGGAGGAGGAGGAGGAAGTGGAGGATCACTCCGCGATTTCTCCTCCCCTGGCCCGCGCCCTCCCTCTTTTCTCCCTTCCGCTCCTAGTGTTCCTGCCTCTCTCTCTCTGCTGCGTGTGCTCCTGCAGCTTCTCCTGCCCCCCGCCCCTCCTCTCTCGCTCCGACCCCCGCCCTCCTCCGCGAGGCGACACGCCCGCCTCCTCCTCCCCCTTTCGTACCCGCCTCGGCCTTCCCACCTCCGGCCTCATCTTCCCGCTCCCCCTCCCCTTTCTCCCTCCGACCCTCCTGTCCCGACCTCTTGCCAGGCCTGCTCATCATCCCCCGGCACCTTCCACCCTGCTTTCTCTTCCCCCTTCAGCCTCCCCGTGTTCATCTGTTTCCTCGGTTCCTCCTCTCCCCTCTTCTCCCGCTCCTTCCCTCCCTCCCCCAGTTGAGTTGGAAGCGGAGGCGAACGACGACGAGAACCAACCACGAGGGCGACGATGACCGCGACGACTCGGGCGACGACGGCGACGGCGGCGACGACGACGACGATTGCGGCGGCCGCGGCGACGGCGACGGCGACGGCGACCACATTGACGACGGCGCCGCGGCTACGAGAGCGACGGCGAGGACGACGGCGGCGGGCCCGGCGCGCAAGCCAGGTCTGGCGGGAGCCTCGAGCGCTGGGCCGCGGCGGAAAACTGGTGCTCTTCGCCCGCGGATAACCACTGGGTGACCACACCCATCTCAGCATCCAGATGCCACCACCCACCAAACCACCCCAACCCAACCCGAAGGTCTCGATTTGACCTCCATTTCCAGTTGGGGGGGGTCGGGGAACCTCGAGAAAACACATATAGAACCCGTACCCCCCCCAACCCGAAATTCGGGTCTTCGGGTTGGGTTGGGGTGGTCTGGTAGGTAGTCAAGATGCCACCAACCGGTCGGAGGCCCAGAGATTGGTACCAACAGGGTTGGCGATTGCCTGCGCCGGGGGGAGATGATCCCGATCGCGGGGGTGCTGGTAAGAGTCGAGCTTCTGCTGCGGCCGAACTTCTACCGCCAGCGCCAAAATCTGGGATCACGTTTCCCAGGTGTATGCAACCTCGTGTGCTCGAGTTGGTGTCAACGCCCAGGCCCAGAAAGTTAGGCCTGGTCCGATTTCGCCCAGACGTACCCCAGCGACCCGTTTGGATGATCCAAGCATCAGGTTTTTCTTTTCGCCCCCGTACCACCGCTACGACGACCACCTGCTGCCGATCGACGAGGTCACCGCTCTCCACCCAGACGGCGAGTACTGCATGTCGCCGAGCGACCTGCACGAGCTCAGGCGCTGCGCGGCAGCCCCCCTCAGGAGAGCCCAGACAGTGAGTCAAAAGTCAGCGGAGGTTGGGGGAGGAGGATGACCCAGACGTCCGACGTATGGACGAAAACGCATGTTTTGTGCTACGTTATTTCGGCCTGGGAGCCCTCGCGGGGCCATGGAGCCGTCAAAACATGACTCGGGATGAAAACCAGCCTTGGGGAATGGGTCGACCGCTCCAGGGGGTCCACGTTATTCAGGAAGGGAAAACACACATACACATACACATACACATACACACGCAACACACACACAACACACACACACAACACACAACACACACAACACACAACACACACACACACGCACACACTCCTGCCAGACCCCAGGACGCTTGCTCCCTGCTTGACGTAGTGCATGCTCTTGGCGCGGCGCCCTCCTCCGCCACGACCGCTCTCCTCCTCTCCCTGCAGGCTTGGTGCGCAATCGAGTCGGCTCATCCCCGCCATCTGGCGGTTGTTGCTCGACCTTTCGTGTCCCACGTTGCCGTTGACAGCAACGTATCTCCACCAGCCCATCCAGAACCGATTATTGTGGCGAGTTGCCGAGGCCCGTCAGCGGTGTGGTCTGGATCCAGGTTTCCGCGATAGTTTGTTTCCGATGCGGGCATTGGACGCACGACGTATGCTTTTCGGCGAAAGGGCGCCGCATATTCACACACACACACACACGCTGACCTCGCTTACAATGTCGCAAAGCACCGCTTGCACGCCTCTGGTCTGGAGGAAGTCAGCTACATAGGTCCACCTCGTTCCTCCCCCTGCCCCCTCCCAGGCAGAGAGAACACAGGCAGAGGAGAGGGGAGGGAGGGTCTGCATATAAGTGCTCGATTCCTGTCTGGAGTTACTTGGGACAGGAATGTGTAGCAGCATGCTGGCACAAGGGGGAACCTGGCGGCCGTCCGCTCCACCCCCGCATCCTCCCCTGTAGAAAATCTGACTCGTAGGAGGGCACATGGCAAAAATGATCAGCCTGAGGGCCACCTCGAGGGAGGACGAGATGCCGATGCCGCTGCCCTTCCCTGGGTTTCGCCTTGCTGCGCCCCCTGGGGGGCCCTCGTCGCCACGGCTGGATTCCCCACGATCTTCAGGTCAGGTCAGGCCGCACCCTGGGAGAGGTCCCGGGAACGTGCATCCGACGCAATCCGGCGTGAGCCCGGCGTACATCCGACGCGGGTCTGATGTAAATTCGTCGGTCTAGAGCGGCCGCGCGAGGCTTCCAGGATTTTCTTCATGAGGATGGCAAGCCCCCCCCCCCGCAGGGCGGACGCAGACTACGTGCGCTGCCACGACCACGTCGCGCGCTTCGTGCTGCTCGCCTGGGGCTGGGACGCCGAGCGGGACGCGCCTGTGGCCGAGCCCGACGCGGAGGGCGGCCAAGGCGCCCGCTCGGGCGGCGGCATTGGGCGGCGTCGGCGTCGAAGGCGCCGTCGCTCAGAGAAGAGACAGGTCCAAGCCTCCCAGATGGGGTCCGAGCAGGTGGGGTCGAAGGATCGCTCCGCATCGACGATGCATCGAGGATGCGGCTCGATGTGGAGTCAGAGCTTGGCCACGCCGACGTCGGCGGTGCGTCGGCGATGCGGCGCGATCCTCCGACCGCATCTGCTCGGACCCCATCTGGGAGACCTGCTGAAGGGCGGCGGGGAGAGGCAGGGGAGGAAACCGTGTCGATGCTCCGGGCTTCCGAAGCCATCGGCTTGTGTCTTTGTCCACCTCTGGGGGCCTCGCCTAGTCCAGGGACCTTGAGACAACCACCCTGGATGAGACGCGCATTCATGGGATGGGGCGGCGGCGTCGGCGTCGGAAGGCTTCGTCGAGGGTCGAGGGCTGACGAAGCTCGGCGTCATCGATCAGGGGGGTCGGTACCAATACCTCTGCCCGTTCTTCAGAGCCCTCGTCGTCATCACGGCTGGGTTCGCCTCGAAATCCTGGTCAGAACGCACCCCGGGAGATGTCTGGGGAGTAGCGGTATTGATACCCGTTGGGAGGACCATCAGATGAGGAAAAGGTGCCGATACCGCGCCAGAAACAAGTAGCGAACTTTCGTGCCAAGTCATATTCCCCCCCTCCCACATGGTCTATGTTGTCGGGGGATCTCATTTCTCATTTGCACTTCGCTGCGGTCGTCCCCCGACGCGCCAACTTTGACATTCGAGGGCGAGAGGGGTGTTCTTCAATTGTTTCTGCCTGCCGGACGGGAGCGGCATCGCCCAGAAAGGCGAAAACAAAGCCAACGTCGCCGTGGTTCAAAGGAAAAGGACGGCGGGGGGAGGCCTGAGGAGGAACGTGTACCGATACTCGAGGCTTCCTGACCTAACGTCACGACGGAATGTGTTTCATCATCTTCTGCACGGGACTTCACCAGGCTCGAGGACCGTCAAGATGTTACCCAGGGTGACACGCAGGCCCCGGGGAATGGGTTCCGACCTCTGGAGGTCCACGCTGTGAAGAAACAAGGCATACGCGGGGAGAGGCAGAGGCGGAACATTTCGAGATTCTGTGATTCCACCATTCTTCCTTCGTTTTCGGGCTCCCTGGGAGGTCCTCGTCGCCTCGACATGTTGGTCAGAACGCACCCTGGGGAACAGCGATCGTATTGGGCGGCATCGTGGCGTCAAAGGGGTCGTTGAACTGGGGGGGGACCGGTGCCGATACAGCTACCCTTCTCTAGACTACCCTGGGAAAGTAACCCGAAGAAGTTATTAACAAGTGGCACGCGTGCCCTGGCTCTTGCACATTTGAAGAGAGAAAGAGGAGGAGGGGTGGGCTGGGGCCAAGGCCAGGGTCGGGGCGAGTGGGGCCAGGGCCAGGGGACAGGCTGAGTTCAGCCAGGGCCAGAGGGCTGGGGCTCGAACCAGGGGCCAGAGGTCTGGACTAGGGCGAGGGGAAGCGGGCGCGAGGGCGCCAGGGGAAGCGGGCCCGAGCCAGGGGGACGACGACGAACCACGAACCACGAAAATGAAGGGTCCAGGGCGAGGGGGGCTGGGGCCAGGGCCAGGGGACGCCAGAGCCAAGGAGGGAGGTTGGGTTCTGGGCCAGGGCAGGAGGACTGGGGCTCGGACCAGGGGCCAGAGGTCCAGGTTGGGGCGAGGAGGCCAGGGGAATGGGTGGCAGGGGGACGACGACGAGGATAGGGGGCCAGAGCCAGGGGGACGACGACGAACCACGAACCACGGAAATAAAGAGGTCCGAGCTCTAGAGCACAACTGTGCAAGAGAGTAGTCCCCCTCTCCCCCCCCCCTCCTTTCGGCAAAGGGATAACACTTCCCGCATCCTGGAAGCATTGCTTCGGCACACTAGTGTTACTAATATTTCGACCTCTGCAACTACTACTCCTACCACCACCACCATTATTATTACGATTATTACTACGACGACTACTATTAGAATTACTACTACTACGACTACTACTCTTACTGTTATTACTACTATTACTACGACGACAACTGCTGCTACTACTACTCCTACTACTACTACTACTACTACTACTACTACTACTACTACTACTACTACCACTACTACGACTACCACTACCACTACCACTATTATTACTACTACTACTACTACTACTACTATTACCACTGCCGGCGCTGCTGCTGGCGATACTACTACTACTACTACTACTACTACTACTACTACTACTACTGCTACTACTACTACTACTACTACTACTACGACTACTACTACTACTACTACTACTACTACGACTACGACTACTACTACTACTACTACTACTACTACTACTACTACGACTACTACTACTACTACGACTACTACCACTACCACTACCACTACTACTACCACTACCACTACTACTTCTACTACTACTACTACTACTACTACTACTACTGCTGCTACTACTACTACTACTACTACGACTA